TTTTTCTAGTTGCTAAGCTTGCTTTTCTCTTATTTGTAAGCTAATTTCGTTACTTTTTCATTTATATTCCAATTTTTATTAATTTATTTTCCCAAAGTTTATTATGTATCAATAACTAATTTTTCTTCTTTAGCTAGCATTACGCTTTCTTTGTTTTTTTTTTTTGTTTTTTTTTTATAAATTTACAGTTTTATATTAATACATAAATATGTATACTATATACTACATTGAAAGCACAAAATGCCAATTTGGCAAGTAGGTTAGTCAGTGTGACTTGATTTTTGTATCTACATTTAATTAATAGTCAATTAAGCTATATTTCCAACAACTGCAAAGTATTTTAAATAAAAGCCAAAAGTGGGCCTATTACACAAGCTAACGAAATCACAAAACTTGGCGTTCACTTGGATCGACGACTAACGTGGAAGCGCCACATTTTCGTCAGAAAGATGTAGCTGAAGCTTCGGTTTTCCAATCTATATTAAGCAAGAAATTTGGGCTCAGTCTTGAAAATAAAGTCCTTCTTTCTAAAGCGACTATAAAACCGTTATGGATGTATGGAAAATTCCAGTCGAAAACATTGAGAATAATAACGGGCGCACCACTGTACATGCGTAATGAAAATATCAGCAGATAACTAAATGTACGAGTACCAACGATCAAAGAACAGATAGAAATCGAATCCGAATCTTTTGGCTATCACCTTGGCCTCCGCAACATATATACGGCGCCTGAAGAGAAGGGATTTACTACCATTGTAAAGAGCAACACAGAGACAACAGCCCAATGGGCTATCATAATTTAGTTTCGTTTTTGGGATTTAATAACTTGTTGTCGAAGTGCGATCAGTAAAGAAGAACAGTTGTGGCTAAAAGATAGAAGTCATAATGAATTAAAGAGCTAAGACAATTTTTCGTTCACGCGACTGTGGGCATATTTCTTTAGGATATTATAAGGTAGGAGGAACCAGAGTAGGAGAGCACCGAGTCCGGTGGTGGACTGAACGCAGCTAAAACCTTTTCCGATCAGGTCCAACATAGAATGGTTTGTCATATAAAAGAGTATGGAATTCCAAATCGATTAATAAAGTTGTCAGGTTGGACAAAAGATCGAGAAACGGTGATAGGCAGATTTGTAATAAAAATAATTAGCGCAATGCAACCGCTGAAGCGATAGGCAGATAGGGCTTGCAAAAATTGAGTGCACTTGGTTTATCTTCTAATTTTTCAAAAGCGACTCTCGCCGATGGAGGTATTGTTTCGGTGTTAAGCTCGGTTGTTTGCCAATTAGGGTGGAAGGCATATCGGTCTTCCTGGATCACCTGGTGGATCCCGAGTTACCTCCGGCCATAATAATTCACATTGAGTTTTGGATTAGGGCAGGTTTTTTGCCCGATTTATCGAGCATAAGGAGATCGAAGAGAAGTAAAGGAACGCTTGGTGACAGCTCCGTTATTGAACTGCCTCGATTTTGATAGCTCTAATTTCGGAATAGGTTGATGGCATATTTGACAACAGAAACGGAGAATCAGGCGGTTTCGTAGGCACAATATATTTAGCGGGATGCCATTTGAAGCTCCCCTTCAAAAAAAAACATGTGTGCCGGTTTTTGCTGAAGTATCTAAGCAAACGGAGGAAGTTGAGAGAGATATTCTCAAGATCAACAAACAAGCCAAAGAACTTTACTCTGAGCTCGGAAAAAATTTCGTGGAAGCGTGTTATTTTTCCTAAGGAAAAGGCTTGAGTTGTCCTTGGCCACATAGAAAGACTGCAGGGCCGTTAATTGCCGTTAATCGGCAATGAACAAAACAGCTACTTCCACATGCTAGAAGAACGCCAAAGTTCTTCAAAATAGAGATAAAATTAAGGTAGTAGCAGTGGAGCTTGGTCGGAGTAGTGTATAAGGTATCGCAGTGAACTTAATATCATTTAAAGTCCCTACGATTAGTGCGTCAATGTGGTTGATTCAGCGCTGCATGTGCTCAAAGGCTTAAAATGGCTGGTGGTGCGAGTCTATGTTGAGTCTACGTATCTACCTACTTCCGTAGCGAGGTTATGAAATAGGAATTTTTATAGATACACCAATGAAAAAAGGGAATACCCTCTCAATAACGAATTTGGATTTCCAGTCTAATCGGAAAGGGATGATAATACAAATTGATAACTCGACTCAGACCATCAAACAGATTGAAACAATGTCGTAATTTGGTTGGAACCCTCACACCAATTTTTGAACACCTCACCTAGCTTATAGTAGTCCAACTGAAAGCGCTATGACTAGCTTTTGTTAGTGATTAGAATAGTCGATAATTTGAGAGTAATTTTGATTAGTGATTATAGGTTATAATTGAGTATAGTTTAATGGATGTTGTTCTTTTTTTGCTTATATCTTACTTTTACTATATCTATATTTGCTTGTGTGTATTTATATGTATTTACGGTGATGGCCATTAATTAATTTTTGCTAGTTATTTTGTAGTTATTGTCCGTCCATACAGTTTGCCTTCAATTTTGTTTTTATTTTTATTTTCATTTTCATCTTAATTTTTTCATAATTGTTATAGATTTTCATGAATGTGTGAGTATGCAGGCTTATATATAAATACATACATTTGCTTTTTTATGGTATCTACTCTACATAGGTTTACTGTTTTTATGTTTATTGTTTCTCACATTGAATATATGGATGCATTTTGTGTTATGTCATTATATTTATAATGAAGCTACGCGCGACGAGTAATCTATGCTTCTGAGTCTACCAAGTGCTTCTTTGTATGTATGCATTTCGTTAATTTATATTTTCCATATGCCAAAATGAATTGAATAAATTTAGTTTAATTTATTAATAAAATCGTCGAATTTATTGATATGAGCTTACGCCGTTAGAAAAATGGAATTACATACACACATACATACACCACAGTAGTCATTATTTTTCAAACTGCTTATGATATATGTAGCGCTCTCAAAATTGTTGTTTTAGTGAGTTGAAGCGGATTTCAATATTCAATTTAAGTTGAAACGAATTAAGAATACTACAAAAGGGATAATGAAATCATTCTAAATCCTTTTCTATTTGCGGTAAATTGTCTCCCTTTCAAGTCGTTCAAGGTTAAATTTGCCCTTCATCAGAGTCGGTAATTCGAGCAATCATGACTTTGTACCAGAGTTTCAGGATGTTGATGGGATCAATTTTTGGTTTCAACAAGAGAAATGAACAATTTATTGAAGGAACCTTTGGGGAGCGCAGTATTTCGCCTCATGGATTTGTAGCGTAGCCTCCAAGATCAATTCTACTGGTGTTCTGTCTACGCAATTAAACCTGAAACAGTTGATGTATGTGAAGAGAGTATTCGTTGCTTCGGACATACGCCTCTCATTGCTGCAAAAAGCGGTCGATAATTGAGCCTCTCGGCTAGAATTTATTCACACCAGCTGTGGAGGTTGGCTGCATGAATTTTCTACTTTTTGGGAATTGCTCCAACCAGGATCTGATCTTTCCTCTTCCTGCTTGTGGTTTTACGTCTTGAAGCTTTTCCAATAAAATGGAGGGACCTACAGTTTATACGAGCGGCTGATGATTTTTTATGAGGTGCTTTATTTCATATCAGAAATACACTCGGACTACAGAGCAAAATTTCTCGTACTGCCAAAAAATCCCTCAAATAAGCCTACATTCCTTATAAATGGATATAAGTCCTTCTGTGTGAGTTAGATAAGCCGTCTGTCATTAAATATAAATATTAGCCGAACGTATAGTTTTCGGTTCCATATCAAACCTAATTTTCCTTATTTATTTTTACTTTTCAAGTAGGTCATTGACAGATGTTGACATTCAACCATCAAATATTTAGGGTGGTTCAGAAAGCTGCATTCAAATGCATCTTTATGAGTAACCGGATTTGAGAAAATGTCTTCTTCTTGAATTGTGTATTTAAGTAACCGGTATTTAGTGTTTTGTTAGCTTCTTTCCGAAAGTATTATAGAAACGTTTCCAAAGCGGGTAATACAATAATTATGATTAACATTTTTAAATGATCCAGTAGCCAGTAATTGGCTCAAAACAGAGAAAGGTTTCCATTTGAAATTAACACTGAAATTGACGAATTCCAACTGCTCATATACATACATATGTATATTTATTGTAACCGTGGAAGAGATTTTCGGCTGGAGGAGGCCAATGGTTTTAAAAAGAAAAAATTTAGTTCTTTTCATTGTGAAAATTTTAGGAATATTTTGTTGAAGAGGGCATTAGATCTCGCACACCTACCTCAAAGTTGGATCACCCTGATACACATACACGTATGTAGATTTATGTATATGCAAATGTTAGTATGAAACTATGTGAAATGAAATATGAAAATCGGATAATCCGCGCATGAGGTTGCTCGTATTATCCATATTTATATGTTTATATATTTTCATTTCAACGCCTCTGAAAGTGGCAGCAACACTTGCCGTCGCCACAGCCGCGGCAGCTCCAAATAATTTCCATCACTGCTCGGCCACGACGAATGATCTCGCTGCTGATTATTTTGGCTCACATTTATGGCTGAATGGAAATTGCCGACACTTGCCGCAATGCTCGTAGGTATTGTTGCTGCTGTTGCACAGTTTTTACAATTAAATTTGTCACTTATTTTGCTGCTGCCGGTGCTGTTGCCACTGCCGCTGCTCTTGTTGCTGTTGTTGTTGTTGCAGCTCCTGTGGCCACAATTGCAATGTTGATCGTAATTATTTTGCATACATTTGCAATTGCTCGTCGAATTATTGTTGCTGCTGCTGCTGCTGTTTTTGTTGTTGTTGCCACTGCTGTTGCATACATCATGTGTGTATGAGTAGTAGCTGTTGTTGTTACTGCCGTTGTCATTGCACTTATCGAAAATGTAGTTACTTTTGCCACTATTCTTATTATTATTATTATTACTATTACAGTCACTAGCGTTATGATTACATTTATTTTTATTATTTTTATTATTATTATTATTATTATTATTATTATTATTATCATTTATTATTACTATCTGCATATGCCCTCTGTTGGGTCAACGAATCAATAAACCAGTGTCCGGTGACCAGCGATTCGCTCGGTAGTACATATCCTTATACATTGTCGGACATGAATTTTGATTCTGCGAAAAAAGAAAACAAAAACAAAAAACAGAAACAGAAAAGAGAATGTGGAGGTTTGGCTTGGTATACTCAGTATTGAAATATCTTTTGTGCAAATTTATATTAATTTTTTTATAATTTTTCTTTTTTTCGTTTATCCCCATGACTCCACTCACCTTATTCCGCTTAAAGTCTATATTTGTCCTTACTGTTCTATGATGGAGTCCTTGCACCGGACGCGCGTTATTACCTAAGGGTGCCTTCGGTGTACTCTCGGAGCCTTGCATCAGTCGTCGGAGTTGGTATAACTGTAGGTATGCAAATGTGTGAGGTTATGATGAATTTTAGGTAAAAAAAAAAAACAAAAGGAATCGGGTGCTAAAAGTTTAGTTTTGACTATATTTCCGAGGCAAAAAAAAATTGAAAACGTGACTACCAAAAATTCACAAAATGAGACTTTTAGATCTGTTTATCTTAAATCTTTATTTATTACCTTTTGAATTTAAAACGAAGTTATATTTAAAGCTCAAATTGCTGTACATTGCTTTTAGAGCAAATAACGCTGATAAATTGAATATTGTTTAATTTTTTATTGCTTTGTTTGCTTAAAATATTCATTACTTAAATTTTTTCTGATTTTGCGAATCACTTCCGAGCGTGTAAATATTTAATTTTTACTTTTATCGGTTTTCTCTACGTCCCGCTTTTCTCTCACAAATAAACTTAATTTGCATTTAAATTCGTGAATTCTCAATTATATATATTTATGAATGAATGCATATGCATGTGTATGTTTGTATAACCATATGAAAAATACTTTTTATTTTTGCTGATTGTAAACTTTAATGAAATTGCAAATGTTGAATGAATTTACATACATACTTTTTGAAGCAAAAAATGCTTTAAACAAATTACAAGCACTTAACACGTAATTACGTTTAAATTAAGCTCGAGTGGTGTGGTAAGAGAGAGAGAGAGAAAAGTGTCCCTCTCTGGTGTGTTCTCTCCGCTTCTTGCCTTTGTGAACAGTTCGATTTACGGTATTTACATTTATTGATTACAAATTGCTTGGTTAGGGTATTGTGGGTACTGGAGAATTGATTAAACAATTTAAAGTTCCTACTTTATAGTCATAATCGAAGGAAAAAATTTAAAATAAATAATACAAAATGAAATGAAATAAAATAAAATAAAATAAAATAAAATAAAAAAATAAACTAAAATAAATTAAAATAAAATAAAATAAAATAAAATAAAATAAAATAAAATAAAATAAAATAAAATAAAATAAAATAAAATAAAATAAATAAAAATTAAATAAAATAAAATAAAATAAAATAAAATAAAATAAAATAAAATAAAATAAAATGAAATAAAGTAAAATAAAATAAAATAAAATTAAATAAAATTAAACAAATAATATATTTTAATTATAAATTATATATTTATTCTCTGGATAGAAATACGTTTGTTTATACTATTTTATTTCAATTAACTGCTACGCACAGCACTCAATTTGTATTTTAACCGCCGATACAAACGAATTTGCTGATGCGGTTAATTAAGTTTAATATGATTGTAATTATGCGTTCAATGCTTGTTATCAAATGCATACACAAAATTTATTTATAAATTTTTCACCTATGTACAAATAAATAATTGTATGTAATTTTGTTCTATAACGGTTATCAATGATCAAATTTCGGTTAAACTATTAATTTACATATTTAGTTTTTTAATATGTTTATTTGCAAAACACATATTGACGTAGCTAATAGACTAATACTCACCTCTTGTTTTGTAATATAAATTGGTTTATTTATAATTATCCAAACTGTGCTCTCCCAGCAGCCGGGATGCGTTGTGGAACCCTCGTAGGTGATGTAATGATCAGTGTTTGGCAACAGTGAACGCACTGATATGTGCCGGATAGGTGTAGAAAATCCTGAGAAAATATTTATTAAAAAGTAGAAATTTTATTTAAAGGTGGCTGATTTGGGGATCAGGTACAGTTTCATTAAATCTGAGTAGTTTTACTTCGAATTTTGAATTGTGAGATTTTTCAAGGATAAATTATTATAATTTTCTGTCATATGAGTAGCGCTTAAATTTTCCGAAGGTTCTAATTTTGATTCAAACTAGTTCATCGATTTTATAAATAATTCACTTCCGTCACGCAGTAGAGAAATGACAATAAAAATAAAAATACTGAAATCTGAAGTCATGCAAATACCAATGGCAAGCAGAAGGAAGCAATTTTATTTTATTGCTGTCGCCAATTGTTTTAAAGGTGATGTTAAATTATTCTACAAATATACTGTCAAGCAGTACCAACTGTCCGAAGCCCTTCATCTTAGCTGTAGTACAAAAATATATATTTTAATCAGATTTTATTTTTTACTTTCTTTCGAAACTCTTATTTCTTATTCTTTATTTATTTCTTCGCTTTTTTTTGTATTTTTTCCTGCAAACCTTTGGCCAATTTAGGCGGCGGAAATTTTTCCGGCAACTTTCACGCGAGCTAACAGCCATGGCAGACGGTTGCTGCTTGCAGCCGGCGTGGGGTGGCGCTGCGGCGTGTCGACTGCGGTTGTTATGTCGAAATTTAACTGCCACTTTACTGTTTGCTTTCCCTACAACATGAGAACAATAACTATTACGGCTCGCGACTGTGCTGATTGCCTTTCTTGTGCTTTCCTTTTCTTTGCATTTCACTGCGCTGTTGTTGTTGCTGGCATATTGCTGGGTTTAGCTTTTCGAAATGACACAAGTCGAGCGCTCTCTGCTAGCCATTAGCTGAGCGGAATTGCACAAGCATACAGCAATGGCATGAAAACGAGACGGCAGTCGGTGGCAATTGCAATTGTTGCCTCTTGCCATGTTGTCCGGTTATTACATTATGAGCGGGCGTTTTTATTGCACTTGGCAGCGCATAATTTTCTACCGACGCAAAAGGTGGCGAGCTGGCCTTAAGGCGATGGCCGAATACCTTTGTTGTTGGATTTGCTGCAGATATTATTCGCATTGGCAGCTCTTAAGGTGATTGTGAGTGGTAAAAAACTGTACCAGTAAAGCTGTTTCGATTTAAGTACGAGGTATGTTTTTGCTGTTGTTCCGTACGAAAGAAATATAGAAATGCGGCTTTGATTTATTTAATATGGTTTTGTTTTTGCCTTCTCAATTTTCTAACTACAGGAATGGCTTACAGTGGGGTTATCCTTCGTAACCGAAGGTGAAAAGTAATTATAAGTTTCGAGTTTCCATAATTCATTGGAAATACTTTGCAGTGCGGAAAATAATTTTAAATATTTTAAAAACCCCCAAAAAAGTGGCATCACTTAACGAAAACACTGCCGGATCGACCCTTGATCGTTTTAAACTGTGGTCATCATCGTTTATTGGTTTACGGGGAAATTTATCGTGAGTCACTGAGATAGCTTAAAATGCTCTTCCACTCTTATACCTGTTGATGAGTGCGTTCAGAGAGCAGCAGAGCGAGTTGAGTGGAAAAAGATTTGGTTGTCTGTTGAGCTAGCAGCTCTCTGCATAGCGGTGTATGTGTATCTTTGGTTTGAAAAGATAGTGGTAAAAGGCGATGTTGGATTTTCTCTTACGTTAATTTGGAACTTCCGCCAATCATAACGTGATCGATTTGAACTCGCGTTTCCGATCAGGGAATACCTAAATGGTTTGATGACTTTTTTATATTAGAAACTGGTATTAGAAATGACTTTATCACTTCCGTCCTTGTCCCATCCATCGTCTTTGTGGAACATCAGGAGTGCCGTGTTTAATTTTACCGAGTGCGTTAACCAGATGGGCTGCGGCACATCTCAATAAAGTAAGCGGGCATTTCAGTATCATCATTGTCATCATTGAAGTTTACAGGCTCCAAGCACACCGCAGAGTAAAATTTACAACTCACTTGGATAACCATCCGCTCGTATCGAAACCGTCCTGCAACCTCTGGCTGTCACAAGGTCTCAAAATAATCTACACTCTTTTTTTAAAAAGGTGCCTACCTTAGGTCGACACTTCGTTTGTAATTTTAGTATTCTTGCCTAAGCTTTTGCTGTTCGTTTCGAGCATTCTTGCATGAGAAGGAAAGTAAAATTGCCTGGTGAAATAATAACTTCTACCGACCGGCCTATATTTCCAAACCCACTCCGACTGCCCTTTTCCAACTTAGCTGCAGGGTGAATGCTTGCTCTCGTTCGTATTTGAATTTGCCTTTGCACTTTGTTGACCGGAAATAACTTCCATCACGTCTTGTTAATTTCTTTTTTCGATGCACGAACACAAATGCCTTCTAACATACAAATAAATACACGAGTACACACTTAAGCACAGAAGAGCGCATTTGCAGTGCATGTCGTTGACATTTGAAAGCCACATGCACTTCGCACGGGCCCTCTCCCTCCGGCGCATATTCGTACTCACCTCTGTACAAAACCTTATTAAAAGTGGTGGTTATAATTCGTAGTTCGGGATTTGGGGTATCGCCAATTTGCACCATCAGCGAGAGGCCGACAATGCCCTGCGATTTGTGTTGAGCCTCGGACATATTGTGATAGAGTTCCTTGTTGAAGCCGTAGATTTGTATCTGTGAAAGAGAGTGGGCCCAATCGAAAGGGCGATAGAAAGAGAGAACAGAAGAGGTAAGTTAGTGAGTGTGTTCACATGGATTAGTGGTTAAGTGAAAAATGCCTGCTGCAGAACCAACAAGTTGTCAGCTGTCTGTTGCCAGCTGTCAGCTGTCTGATGTCTCATTTACATTTCTATTTTCATTTCCATTTCCATTTCCATCTCAAATTTGCACTTACATACGTATGCACATATGTACTTACCTCACCGGGAAAACTGTATCCCTGTATATAGTGCTCCGATCCCCGGCTATTCTCCGTGCCGTAGTGTATGTAAATCTCTTCGAACTGATAGCGATAGGCGAGTGGGCCGCCGGTGATGTTCACCGGCTGCTTTGTGTCCTTGTCGACGCGGAAGACAAGCGATTGGCCTGTGTTGTGTAGTGTACCGGAAACCTGCGCGATAGTAAGCACACATGGTGAGCGAAATCAAACAGCGAGCCAAGCAAGCAGTGCGGCAAGCAATAAGCATAAGCGAGTCAAGCGCGCGCCAGCCACCAATCGGTTAGCCCAATAAGCAGGCAGCAGTCGGTCCAAACAGTCAACCAGCGAATCAAGTCAACAAAGTTAAGCATGCAAACAATCAGGTAGTCGAGCATGTGGACAGACAGACGGCAAACGAAGCGACGAAATTCGGAAAGAAAAGAGATAAAGAAAAAAAGTAGAGAGAAAAGAAAGACAAACAAATAACTTTGAGCTATTGAACATTTGGAGTTTGTGAGTGTGAGCTAAAAATATGAAATGAGTTGTATGAATATATGTATGTAAAGCTGTATTTTTCTCATCGTTTCATTTCTAAAAATTTGTTAGTTTTAAATTTTTCTTCTCAGCATAATTCCTGTTCTCTTAATTACCTTGTGCTTATCGATGTGCAACGGTCGCAAGTAGGGGTCGAAGAGTAATTTATCGGGCACCACATCTATGGGTGACTGGCGTCGTCCTTTGTTGCACATATTCCACTGTGGATTGATAAGGCCCCAAAAACCTGGTCCTGGAGAAGAGAAATGTAAAACGGAGTTTAAAGCTAAATTTCGTATCTTCTTATTTATTTATTGAATTATAAATTTATATAAATGAAAAATAATTATACAGTTATTATTGTAGCTGCTTATAGATATGGCGAATTTTCGACTCAGAAATTTAAATCAAAGTCAAGTAGAAGAACGGAGGCTTAATTGTGTCATACATGCTTCCGGCAACCGACTAAAAATTTGATCCAATTTTATCGAATTTCGTTTATACGAGTATATGTATGGTCGCGTAGATTCTTATAGCCGAGTGAGGGTTGCAAAGCTATGAGTCTTCCTACAACCATAATGCATTCATTTCATTTAGGCAAAGTCATTAAAGTAATATTTCAAGATGGTTGAAGAAGGACGGCCGAAAATCATTGATTCCGTTTTCAAAACAACAATTATATTCCAGCGGAAATGCGAACAGGCAAAATTACATGAATTCAACTAATTTTGAACTAATCGACCTAAATTTCTCTTCGTCAGCTGACACTTCTTCGGAGCAATACTCAAGGGGATTTTTTAAAATCTGTATTTCGCGTTCTATCAATGGACGACGATACCTTGCTTTAAAGCGACAACAGCAGATGTTTGAGAGCATGTCAAAGATGGATACTAGCGAAGAGAAAATAGGCTCTATTAGACAAAATCGCGGTCAGGCAGGTTGAAATGTGAATCGTATGTATGGTCATGCTGCTGTAACAGTCAATCGTGCACATTTTCGGTTTCTTCGATTTTGTTTCGGTAATTTTGGTGTAGAAGATTTTCCAATTGTCGAAAGTGTCAATAAACTTGTGGATATTGTCGAGTCTAACCCTCCTAAGAGCACTGTTTGTATTGCCTAGAAGGTAAAGCAGTTTGGTAAACGCTGGCTACGCAAAGAAGTTCGATCTGTGGCTGCCACATGGGTCAACGAGAAAAACCTTTTTTCTATCTACCAATCGTCACTGCTGAATTGTTACAAAATCGACCCATTCTGAAGTGGTGATGAAAAGTGGAGCGCTTACAGCAACGTCAATTCAGAACGGGTTTGCTCGGAGGGCAGTGTGCCGGTACCATCGGTCTCTAAGACAGGATTGACGGCCCGGAAGGGGTTTTCGTTTGTTAGCTGGAGTTGGCAAGGGGACCATCCATTATGAGCTGCCTCCCTCGACCACAGTCTTAGTTCTCCACTGAAATATTCTAAAGTTCTGCCAAAATTAGTTGCCATAGGCTCAGAAAAATAACTAGCGCCATATATTTTTCATCAATCCCTGGACTTAATATAAATATCTTTACTGGGTGTAAATGGGGTGTAGTCAAGCTTCTGGGTATGCGGTTACAGTTGCGAGGGTATACTCAATTCCTACTCTTGCGTCCACGTCACGCACCTTGGAAACGTGAGCAACCCTTGTGCAAGATGCGGCAACCAACCCGTGTGGAGCCTTGGGTCACGGCTAATGACAGAGGAAGCTTCAGTGGAGCCACTCCGACTTATTCGATTTAAGGGTCTGCTGAAGTCTAAATGCAGCGTCTGCTCACCAGACTGCGATGCGAGCAGGCTTCGGTTCTGAAGCAATCGGCTCGCTATATGAATGTCGTGAGGTTGGCGCTGGGATTGGGACCCGCCACATAGAAACCAGCTCCAATGAAAAATGAAAAATATAAATTTTCGGATCCACCCGAAACTAGTGTTGCTTACTTGTTAGAATTATGTTTTTACAAATCACCTTTAAATTAACGCGAAAGCTTCAAATATTCATATGCAAAACTAAGGTACAAAATAGCGGTGTTTCTAAGTGCATGATTGCTAGACATTTCGGTCTCAAACATGTGTCAGCGTAAAAGGATTTAAATTTATATATAGAAACTTACAAGCGTTGTTCTTGTTGTTGTTGTTGTTGTTGTTGTAACCACAACTGAACTAAGCCACAATGAATTGACATGAATGACATGTGACCTGTCGGGAAGTTTGCGTGCAGACAAAAATTACGATTTATGCATTATACATACATACATATATACGATACATACTTACATATCCACATAATACATGCATTTGTATTTACTACAATACAGTGAGGAGCAAAAGTGAGCGCCACTACACAACCTTGAATTTTTATTGCCATCATTAATATTTATTTATAAAACTAAAAATCATATAAAAATATACTGTTAAACAAGAAAAGGGTATTTCATTTTTTCCCTCGAAGATATTAATTTATACAAAAGGGTATTTTTTTCGACATGTGATTTCCAGAAAGGAATCAGGAATTTGGCTTTATTGTGGAGATAAGGATCTGTCATTAAGTTTTAAAAATGATTCCCGGGAAGCGACCGCTGCGGCCGACTTCAATAAATTCCAGCAGAGAGGCCTAATCTTGAATTTTTTGCAGCAATAACGCGTCGAGCATTATCTCCCAAGGCCTCAATCGTTTCGGTTTTATCTGCATAGACAAATAAAAAAGTCCAGCTGTTTTTAATATGACGTTCTTTGAGGTCACAGCCACACTATGGGAGACATTATAGCCACCAAAAGTGCCCTTCAATAAATTGAGGGTTTTGTTAGCTGTATGGCATACGGGGACGTCTTGTTGTTACCAAAGGTCCTTCACGTCAACATCCCTCTATTCAGGTATGAACAACTCATTAATCTATAGTTCTATGACGTTTCCCATTGACTGTAACATTATGACCGGCTTCCCGCTGCACATAGAATACGCCAAATATTAACTTTTTGAGAATGCAGCGGCGTCTCAACAACGTCTTGTGTATTAACATCACTCAAAATGTGACAATTTGCTTTATAACTTAGCCATTCTTCTATATATCGCCTTTTTTACTCGTTTTGGACCCACTCACCGAACCTGCGGCGGGCTTGATGATCGTTCTGTTTAGTTCCTGTATGAGTGTAAGCCCGCAGACCAAGAGCCTTCCGCAAAATCTTCCCTTTGCATGTAATGGTGGATGGACTTACGGGTATTTGGGGCTTGATTGATACTCCGTTCTTGGATCTTTGGTGCGCGCTGTGTGTTATTTCTGAGGATGTGCATTATCCAGAAGAGTAAGCATGGAGCGAAATAGATCTATGATTGCTCGAATTGCCGGCTCTGCTGGGCGATTATGTTTTGATACCAATTAAATTGCGCGATTAGCAAACGTTGTTCCGGAGTAAGACTAACTCCGCGTAATTGGAAAGCACAATTTAAAATAATTGAAATTTCAGAATTTTTGAAGTTCTTTAATTTAAGTACATGTCTAACTGCGACGATTATATATTTAAAAAAATATAATAATAATAAAAACTACTAAAAATATTTGCAACATAACCTCAATTTTCTCTCCTCACTATTAACAAATACGTCGACTCATGCGGAGCAGCTGTCGGCCATTCGCAGAGAGCTGTGAGTGAGTGTGGAAAATATGAGCGACAAACTGCAGTCGAATTGGATAGAAATGACAGTTGGAGGTTATGCGGGCAGTGAATAAAAAAATTAATATTTCCGCTATAAAAACCAACAACAACAACAACAACAGCAACAAAATGACATATATAAAATTGCAGTGAAAAGGTGACTTAAGTAAACTCTGACACACGAACATATGTGTGTATATGAACACAGTTACATATATGTACATGTATTTACTCAACGCGCTAGCCTTTTTTATTTATTTACTTTTTTTTTGTGCGCCCGAGGTTCACTTTGATGGGACGGTGATAATAAACAGTCGCACTTTTCATTCACCTCAGTTGGATTGTGTTAGTGTGTGTGTATGTATGTGAGTGTTGTGAATACATTTGTAGGAAAGCCGGTGTTGATTTTAAACTTCCCAGTTCGTGCCCTGTAAAGCCAGCATTGACTGACATTGGATAAACTTCCGCGCAATGAATGCACATATGAGGGAAGGACTGACTGAGTGCGGTGGGTGAGGGAGATGAGTGGGTGAGTGAGTGACTTTCACATTGACGCCTTGACATGTACGCCATTGAATTTGTCAGCAAATGCATTTATTTAAAATGGAATATAATTAAAAGTGGTTATTTAAAGAGCTGAAGATTGAGTTGCCACTGATAAACATTTCAAATATCGTCATTTCTTTAATGCATACGAGTATATATTTATAATGTAATGGGGTGTGCAGTTATATATGCGCGGCAATTCTCAGTTCCTACTTGTGTGGAGCCCTGGGTCAGCGTATGTGAGCGCCACAAGATAAAACTGTAACGCCAGGGTGTGCAAAATGGGATCTCTGCTGTCTCCAGATTGAAGAACTTAGAACCAGATCGCTCAAGTTCATACAGATGGATGCTCTGAGTACGAAATATTTACTCGGACCGCTACCTTGTTGCAATAAATATATGCATCTGCCTCATAAACAAAGGTACTCATCAGTAACTTGGTGTAAGGGAACTATGAGATGGCACTTCAGGCTCCCCACGTACAGCTGCAAACGAAACTACTGGATCTCGATAGGATTGCAAAAACAAAATGATGGGTGAAGTAGAAGAAGAAGTTGATCGAGATTTTTGTATTCTATGACTGGAACTAATGACTCTTGCGCTCCATAACAACAATTCACGAATACGTGATACGTGTGGCGAGAAGCTTATGCCAGGAGCTCTAAAATATTCGCCAGCCACTTCTCATGTCCAAATAGCTATTCTGACTAAAAATAATTCTTTTTTTGAATTTCATATACATCAATTTTCTCCCTTTTTATCATTTTCCTTATTTTCTAGTAACTAAAATGATTTTCATATCTACATAATGTCTTACTTGAATGCAGTAATCTGCCAGCGAAATCTTACACATTACGAAAATTAAAAAAAGAACAATGGTTTGCGCTAGAAGCTCAACTCACTCAGCTCACTCACTCAATTCGATTTATGAAAATCGCTTTAAACAAAAATAAGCTCAATAAATGACAACAACTGCTTGTTTTCAATATTTGGAAAATATCGATTTTCGAGAGAGGGACATGCAAAAATCAAAGTGTTCGCCACCATACCTTCTTCTACTTGGTATAGACACAGCTTACGCGATTGTAGCCGAGTTCACAGCAATGCGCCGTTCGTTGATCATTCTCGCTCTTTGGCGCCAATTGGAGATACCAATTTCAACGTTCTATCGTCTGCGATATTCTCCATTGCCAACACGAAATATTTATGGTCCTTAAGTAAAACCTTCTCTCGAAAACTCTTAACGCCAACTGATCAGACGTTGTCATCTCCCATGCCTCCGCACCATATAGCAGGAAGAGAACGATGAGAGTCTCGTAGAGTTTGGCTTTCGCTTGCCGAGAGTGGATTTTACTTTTCAATTGCCTACTCAGTCCAAAGTAGTACCTTTTGGCAAGAGTGAGTGTGCGTTGGATTTCAAGGCTGACATTATCGTTGGTGTTGATGCTGGTTCCTCGTTCACTGCCAGTCCCATCGTCATCCACCAGGATTTCGGGTTCGTCATCTCCGGGTGTTTCATTTCCACTGCCATTGAAGCTGGAGAAGAGTTCCCGATATAAATTCTGTATACTCTAGCCATCCTACGTCCTACAAAAATCTGCTTCGGTTTGAAGCCTTCCGTAAGCCATTGTATATTTTCTTAAAAATTTCGAGCATTAGCTATGTCGACCAGCTGCTCAAGCTCTGCATACATCCTGGCTTCTTTTTTTTTGTCTGCAGATGCATAATGTTTCCTTCTTCAGCACACGGTATCTATCCCACCCTGCACGTGTTGTAGTCCATCGCAAGGTTGCGGGGTAGGCAGTCTGTTTTCTCTACAGTGCGACACGACAGTTCTCATCGTTCCAGCTATTTTTGCGATCCTTTTGAAAACCCATAGTTTCGTTTGCAGCTGTACGTAGGGAGCTTTTCCGTCCCACAGTTTCCGTATACAGAGTTGCTGATCAGTGCCCTCGGAGAGCAGGAGTACAAGTCTAGTAGAAAACCACACGGAAGCTTGCTGTGATTGCTCCTTGAACTTTCCTTGTGTTTGCTGATGGGTTTTCTTTGACACTCAGAGGCGGGCGCTTATATTCGCTGGAACAGGATACTTGATATTGGGTCCTCGGAGTGTGCGCATTTCAAGAGCCCCGGATACATATCTTCCGTCACAACGTGATCGATATGGTTTTACGTATTTTCTTGAGCTGAAATCTTATGCTACAGACAACTATATTTCGGGCCCCGGCGAAGTCGATCAGCCTCAAACCATTTGGGGATGTTCTGTTGTCCAAAAATACCTTATTTGCCCACCCTGGTGTTGCACTCACCAAGCACATTTTTGACGTCGTGGCGGGAGCAGCGCTCATAAGTATACTCCAGGCGCTAATAAAAGGCATCTTTTGCCAAATAGTCTTTCTCTTCCATCGGGTCATGGGCGCAAATCTACGATATGTTGAAGAATTTTGCTTTGATGCGGACATTCATTCACCGTGGTGAATGCCAGTACTCGACGACAGAGTCTCTCTCCACCATAAATCCGACGCCACATTTGCATTCGTTTATATGGCCGCTGTAGTGAAAGCCACAAGGACCTGCTCGCTTCCGTCCTTGTACCGTCCACCGCACTTCTTGGACGGCGATTGTGCCAGTCCTTAGTTAAGCGAAGACTTTATCTAACTTGGCAGCGGCACTTTCTCAATCAAGGGACCGGATATTCCAGATGCATGCCTTCAAATCGCGATCCCTGAAACATTTGCGGGGGTCCTCAACAGAAAGATGCCCATCTCATTCGAGGCGTAGTAAAATATATATATATATATATCGTAGTATATACTATTAATATAGTCAATTTATGCCAAACATCGACACAGTTGTGGCTTGTTATTGGTGTTGCTATTACTGTACTTTATATGATTGCTGGTAAGTTTCGTTACTTCACATTTTATGATTATTCTCAATAACTGTCGATTTGGATTGATGTTAATTGATTTCATGAACTGTGTTCGCACAAAAAGCAACAGAAAATCAATTATAGAAATCACAAACATATATATACACATATTCATTCATATCAATAGTAAATCAATAGGTATTTGTACAAAAGTGAACTCTGTGCGACAAAGGCCAATGGACGGACGTTGCACACTTTGACAAACCTAATTGATTAAATTGCACAATTTTATTTTATATTCAGATTCATATACACGTATATATATATACACGTATATATATATATATTATTTGCATGTATTTTACGTGTGTGCGTAGGATAGTAACAACTTTTGTACTGAACAGCATTTCCCCAGAAATGAATGGAAACATAAATGTTTATTTAATTTCTATTTTGATTTATCCCAAATGATGTTAGAAAGCCCATTTTTATATAAAACAGGATTGAAAAAAATATTTTAATTGTTTGTGCATTTTTTAGTTTTGTCTAGATTCTATAGAAATATAGTTCCATTAATTACTCTTAACCCTACTTACCGGAGATGCCGTCATATGTCCACCATTCTTCCCAGCTGGCCTTGACTCCTGCAAAAAGAAGAAGAGAGAAAACAGTTAGCACAAAATTGACTTTTATTGCTCAATAAAGAGATTTAAATACAAAACTGCAAAAACTTTCGCAAATTGAATTTACTTCGCCTGCATAAGTGTGATATGTAGAGAAATGCTTTGAAATAATTTGCTAAATAATTTTAGAAATTTCAGTTTTAATATTGAAATAATTCGTCTTTTAAAAATAATAAATACTAAATAATAAATTTTGGAAAGAATCTCGTATTTTTTAATTTTTATAAATAAAAATGAAATGAGATTTTTGCTCTGTATTTAATTTAATTTATCGCAATCTCACTTCTGTAGTAACATAAAAATTTCAGTAAGCAATTCTGGGCATTATTTTGACTTTTGATAAAATTCTTCAATTCAATATCAAGTGATTGGAAATAACATATTAAGCGTAAACTATGACTTACAGCCTGGTAGGCATCGTAAAGGTTTACAAGTGTGTAAAGCGACATTTTATTTGTTTACATTGGAAAACAGCTGAGATCAGCTGATTTCTCAAACATTTTCATTATTTCCTTTTCATCAACATTTCGTATTTGAACTTCCCTCATTGCATCATGATTCGCTATCAGATTCTTTACTCTTCTTTTTGGTATGGCATTTAAGTATTCGTTGATTCCTTCATTGCCTGCGTTTTTATTCTACAAATCCTTGATTCCAATGATGTTCGCATCATCTAGTTCGCCTGCCAAATTAGCCGATTTTATTGTATATTTGACAGGCAAATCCCGAGATTGACAGGCATACGCGAGTTGACAGATTTCTACCAAATTTCACAAGATTCCATACTTGTAAACCTCTACGATGGTGTGTTGTAGGCGACCTAAGTTCTCAGATCAGCTGTGAGTACCCGATAAGTCGCTATTCGGTGGCGAGTGGACCATATGCCCAGCATTATTTAACTCATACTCGTATGCTGTCGGGTCACGTATACTTCAGTTGCTCAGTTAAGCTACATTCGGAAGTGAATTGAATTAATATAATAGAGCACGCTTAAAAGGTACTATGAGCGAGAAAGTTGGACTGAGAAAAATGGAACGACTCCCGAGTAATGCATTAGAGACAACTTTTTTAAGTGAGCCGCAAGTGGCACCACCATTGATGTGACGACATAATATTGATGCGAAAGATACTTTTCTTCGCCTATAAAAAATGTTTAGAGTAACGAGTTGAGTTGATTTAGACATATCCGTCTGTCCGTCCGTCTCCGCAAATTAACTATTTGCGGTTGCTACTAGAATGTTCTCCACTGCGATTGAATTTTTGAAATGTAATAAATGCACGCCATAAATATTATTAAATCATAGATGTCAAAATTTAAACCTCAGCTTGTTCACTCAGCGAAGCACTTCTTCAAGACGTTCCATGCCAAACGGGGTTTCAGACAGGGTGACACTTTGCCGGTGTTTTTCCTTAGTTTTATACTGCAGAGAATAGTATAACCTGCAAACCTAAATGGAGAAAGTACAATCTTCTCCAGTTGGACACAACAATAGCATCGTTAGATCTGCTTTTTCTGGGTTCCACAGAGAAGGGAAGGGCTGCCAGAACACCTAGAACCGAGACAGAAGTGTGGACGCCAATGCCAAGTCATGTAATTGGGTGAGTTAAGAAATATGTTATAAAGAAGGGGGTATACTGAATCAGTTTCTAAGTGAAAGTATGTGCTTTTTTCTTTCTCACTTCGTTAGTGCGAGACAAATATTTCCGTGAGACACACTGAGATTATCGTAAAGTGACGTACCTGCTGACACAACTAGCTCTACCAGAATGTTTACAAATGATTAATCAAAACGTTTTGTAGAGTAGCGAGAAGTAGAGAACCTGCCACAGCTGGATTTCTATTCCCGAATTTTGTCAGCTTTGTCAGCTGCCCACTCTCAACAACATTTTTTCTTTTATTCATTTTTCGTTGAGTTGAGTTGATTCAAGTTAGAACAATAGGTCTACTCGTTTCCATAGTTGCTGAACAATCTATCGTGTCTTATAAATGCTTAGAGACTCCTTCAGCGAAGTAACCAAATGTTTTGATGTTACGTGATGATTAAGGATGAATATGGACTTCTTTATCGCTGCAGCTGACACAAGAATTATTGATATAAGGACTAAAATATTATCATCGTTAGAACCACTGTCGAGTTCTTCGAATCAGTGGACATTGTTTGGCTATAAAAACCACAATAACAAAGTGTTGAACAATTGGAGATCAACCGAAGTTTTTGCAAAGCAGTAAACATTTCGAAGGACTGTTTGATGTCCAAGAAACGCACACGCACAACAAAGCTGTTGTTCAGGCTGTAGTTGACAGCTTCGACTATACGTGTATGCTCGATATATATTTATATGTATTGTACGTTTTATATATTTATATATTTTATATATATTGGATGAGTGCATAAGTTCGTGCCCGATTTCAAGTGCAAGCTAAAATTGAAATTTTTTGAAGAAAGCGCTTTTATTAATCAATTATGTATTCGCCATCTTATTCGGCAATCTACTCCCAGCGTTCAACCAATTTACGGATGCCTGATTCAGAGAAATCGCGCGGTTTCTCGTTGAAAAAGGTGTCAAGGTGGTTTTTGACGTCTTCCACATTTTTAAATTTTTTTTCATTCAAATTGTTCTGCAGCGATCGAAGCAAATGATAATCAGAAGGTGCAATGTCGGGTGAATATGGGGGATGCGGCATGATTTCCCAATTCATCTCCTTCAGTTTGGCCAGGGTCGGTTTTGCAACATGTGGCTTGGCGTTGTCGTGATGGAAAAGAACTCCTTTGCGATTGGCCCATATCGGACGTTTTTCATCAATTGCTTTCTTCAATTCGAAATTTCGTGAACCATTTCTTTACTGAGCGGAGTGCTGGAGCACGGTACAAATAAACTTCGCGTGTTTTTCCTTTGCGGAATTCGTATAACATAATATGACGCATATGATCTTTTTCGTTGTCCATCTTCCATGCGTCTTTTCACTAAGTAACTCAAATCAAAATGAAATTATTTTATGCTTGAATTACAGTTTGGACTGTCACCTTTCCAACGATATATAATATGTATATATTTCTTTCACGAACGGCATCCAGCGGAATCGGGCACGAACTTATGCACTCATCCAATACATTTTGTACACTTTCACCACTGGATTACAGGCCATCACCTCCTCCAGTTGGTGGTGTGCGCCTGGTTGTTTTTCCAATAAATTGAGATATTTACGTCTATAAGAGAACTCCATCAGCCAATGCCGTATCAGAATGGCTGATGGAGTTTTATGAGTAGCGTTTGCATGAATTGCTGTATCTAAATTTGCACCATTTTCATGAATAAAGACATGTTCTGCTTTGGGAACTATTTGGAACTAGTTCAGAATAAATTTCACTAGTTTAATCAGAACTTTTGTGGGCAACGACAAATTAGTTATTTCCGCATTAATATAAGATTAACTTTGGACTAGTTCAGATGGAGCTTGGACATTTGGTAAAATCAATTGAAGATCAGTTACCTAAACGTAGCTTGAGCTATTCACAGAAAGTTAATATGAAGATACTAACCTGTTTATACTACTTTTAATCAGTTTCCGTAATTTCGAAAATATTAATAAATATTCCTGCTAGAGACTCCCACAGCCTCCACGGTCTCCATTTATATTTTTGTTTTTGTATCGTCGCTACTAAAGATAAAATGTGCAAAGTAATTGCAATGAAAAAGTGCTCTTAATACTTATATTCACCTATAGCTATTTACTTTCACCACAACAAAAAAAGGGGAAGAACATAAAACAACAAAATGCCAACAGGATCGTTAATGAAGTACCGTTATAAAAGTTATGCATGAAAATATTGAAGAAAAATTAAATCGGAATGAAAAGCAAAAGTAAGAGCGAAAGGCCAATTTTGATGCATGCAAAAAAATGTAACCGCACCAGACGACAAAATGAAATGAAAAAAAAACGCTGCGAAGAGCTTTTTCAATTTATAAAACTCATTTCGCCTTTTTTTGCCGCTTTTCAACAATTTTTAATGATACATTTTAAATGCAAGTATATTATCCATACCACTGCCATATGTATATATATGTGTGTGTGTTTGCCGATAAGTGAGCTTTAAAGCACAGACACTGATTGCTGGCGATAAGGCCATGGACTTTCAACAGTCATCTGTCCTTGCGCGCACATACAGAGAGAGAACGTAATTTCGCATACATTACATACGTAAATGAGTAAATACTTTTATTTTTTGCTTATTTGTATGTATTTATGCATATATTTATATGTGTTTGGCAATATACAGATGTCAATTGCTCCAATGAACAGAAGGCAATTGAAGTCGCCGGGCTACAGCTTAATTTTAATACAAAAATGAATTGCATAAACTTATCTGCGCCACCGCTATTCTTGTTCGTTCTTGTAATTTGTCATGTTTATTGAACACTAAATTTTATTTATAGCCAATTTTTTAATTTGGTTTTTTTAAATATTTTTTTTATCAATTTAGCTTTAAAACACTCTGTGCTCGTAATCTAATAGCTTAAAGTTTATTGCGAGCATTAAAAAGTCAGCGAAAGTGCATATGCTCGCGACAAATAAATGACGAAAAAAATGGCTAAAGGTGAATTTGAAAAAAAAAAAGACAATTTATTTTAAAAAGTGGTTTGTGGAAAAAATATTTGTAAAAAACTGATTTGAGTAATAAAACTATTTGTGTGGAAAAACTAATTTTTTTTGCTATCATTGTTTAACAAATTCAGCGCAAAAAATGCGTTGACAGCCAGTTAAACAACAGTGTTTGCTTGTAAAATAGTCGGCGTGATTTTTTTTCAATTTTTTTCCACAAATTTATTATTAAATATTTACATTTTCATGTTTTACGAATATTTTTCAATTTTATAAAATTTGCCAGAATTTCAGTTAAGTAGCGTGAATGCCTTAATTTAATTTAAACGCCCGCGGTGAACACAATAGATGCATTTGA